AATTGGTAGTGATTCTAAAAAGAAAAGGATAAGATATATTCATAAAAATGACTGAAAGAAATTTATGATTAGTATTTTACAAGACAATTCAGATTCCTATTTGCTATAAAGTTTAAGAGCTTTCTCAAAATTGTATTCTATGTTATTACATTCTTAATTAATTTATACAGAGAATGCTCTACTGATACTATTGTAGATTTTAATCCAAAAGTCTTATTGGCACAGACAGTGTGTGCAGACTTTGAGAAAAGTGGCATAGGATACAGTGCTATCACTGGCATGAGGGTATTTGGCTCTAACATCTGAGCACTGAAAAGGTCTAAGAAGTTTTTCTGTGCCACAGACTTCTTTACTTTCAGTTTTTAATGGAACTACATAAAATAGGTTAGTGAAAACAAAAGTACAAAATCCAGGCTGTCGTTGTAAGAATATTCTCTCTGGAACAGACAATGGTAGATGCTAATGTTTCCCCTGAATGATACTGCCCTGCTTGCTAGTTGTAGCTGCTTGATAGGGGACTATTGCTGAGAGTGACTGCACAAACCTGTAATAAAAGCACTGGGAGGCTAAGGCAAGATTGAGACCTTGGGCTGTACCATTTGTTTCCTCAACAAAGGATACTGTCTGTTTGTTGTTACTTTTGAGACTATTATTTAATCACAGTGCTTCCCCTTTCCCCTTCCTCCTTTCAAAGTCTCCTATATAACTCTCCTTAGGGACTCTAGCCTTCTTCACTATTCCTTCTGCCTTGTGAAAAACTGTTAGATTACGTTCCTAAGGCTAGCCACCAAAGTCTAGTCCCTTATTTGTCCACTTCCTCCTCCTGAGGCTGACCACCAAAGTCTAGCATAAAAGTATTGAAATCCAGAAATCAAAAGCACTCTTCAGCTCACCTAATTGATATGTACAATTAAAAGTAAAGAACTCATCCTAACAGGGCTGACCTTTATAAACCACAATGCGCCTATGGGCCAAGTTTGTCCCCTCTCTATCCAGAGGCAGTTATTGGCTGCCCACTCAGGGACAAATACCTCTTGGTCTTCTTCCTTGTTCCCACCCCTTCTCCTTCATCCTCTAACTCCTGTCTTTGTCATTTATTCTCTTCCCTTTGTCCCTATGGGGCAAACCTCCTTTGTGCTGAGAACTTGGGTCTTGGGGATCCTGAGCTGATACCCTCGCTGCTCTCCTTGGGATACTATGATTTTAAAAATTATGACTGACATAGTTTCTGTATGTATGGTATTGGGGATTAAACCTGAAACTCTGCATATATGAGGATAGAACTCTGTGTGACTGGGATATACTGTATTCTTATCATGAAAGGAGACATCCTTTAAACCTAGCATGTCACACCTTGAGATCAGAGGCAACCAAAGTTTTCCGGGAATATAAATGGCATAGGAATAAAAAAAAATCAAATACTGCTGCAGGAAATACAATGGCTTACTAGGTATCCTAGCCTGTACACACAGGACTACAATATTCTTCATTAGACTATAAAAGTACTACTTACTAAGGAGCTCAGGTAGGTGTGTGTGTGTGTGTGTGTGTGTGTGTGTGTGTGTGTAATTTCCATTGTTAGAAGCAGAAAAACACGAAAGTACACATTAAATATGTATTAATTGTCTACTGTCCTTCAGCTAGACCAAGTAGAGCATTGCCAGGATTGATCCTTGCTATTTCTTATACAGTACCTGGGACACAGTAGTTGCTCAGAAACTATTTGTGATTTATTAACCTCATGAAGTACTAGCAATAAACAAACACTATGATTTAATCTGCTGTTTAAGCATTAAGCAACCCCTTCTAGAGGAGAGGTTGACTGAATGAAAAAGATGATTCAGACTCTCATTCTTTCCTCTCAGGGTGGAGTTTCTGGATTACCTGCCTTTGTTTTTACTACTCTTCTTTCTAGGGGTTTGTGTTGAACATGGAGATACAAGATTTAAAGTTTTTCTCAGTTACACATTTCTCAGAACAGGCTTAAGATACGTTGGGTTACCAAAGAGGTCCCCAACTCTTTACCTCAGTAACATCCAACGTAATGAAAACAAGGGTGCTTCAAAGTTCACTAGAAGAGTAGACACATCAAACTGCCTGATTGACAAAGAAAAAAAGTACTACTTGATCTTGTTATAAATGGAAAGTTTTAGACATGTTAGAAAAGAGGCAGTAAGTTATGGACTTTATCCCCTGGAAGTGATGCCAACCAGAAAGGATTTTAGGTGTCAGCAGATAAATGTGCTTTTCTTTCTCCCTTTTACTTTCATTCACAAAGAAACTGAAGGCATATGGCAAAGCACATCATTAATTTCTTATTAATTTCATAATATGAAGGCAACCAGTTAAAATAGTCAGCTACAACTTTAAATAACTGAGCTTACTGGGTATTTAATGAGAGATTTAGCATAGCAGGGTTTCTGTTAAATTAAGTTGTGCTTTCACGTCACAGTGGGAAAACAGGTGTATATTGGTTTAGAATTATGGGAATGTTGACTAATTTTAAGGCTTGTAATCAAACAGCAAGGTACCCTGTAATTTTTTTCTTCAAGAATATGCATTAATCTTTTATGTCTGTTCCATTTCTTCCTGTCTACCAAAGGCTCACAACTGAAAGGCAACTACTTTCATGTTTTCCCGGCATCTGTTAAGAGTGATGATTGTAAGACAAAGCTGCACAAAAATGCAAGATGCGAGATTCTATCCGCGTCAACCACAAGTGATAAGGCAAATGTAGCAAGTGTGCACAGTGTAAGAATCTTACTAATAATATCTGACTTCTTAAATTTTTGTTTAACCTGCTTCAAGTAACTGAGCCTAAGAAACTAAGATGAATAAAACGAAAAATATTCAAGACTGTATTTTCTAAGCTCCCAGTTTATTTATTTAAAAAAATTAAATTTATTCTTTATTTTATACATATGGATGTTTTGCCTTGGTGCCCATCAAGGAGGTTAGAAAGCAGCATAAGCTCCCATGGGAAAGCAACCATGTGAGTGTTGGGAATGGAACCTGGGTCCTCTGGAAAGGCAGCCAAGTGTTCTTAAATGCTGTGTTATTTCCCCAGTCCTTGCCCCCACAACTTATGGTCCTTAGTTACATGTTTCCAAAGTCTCTATTCTTAAATTTCACATATAGAATTTTAGCAAAAGAAAAAAAAACACGCAATATTTAAAAAACATACAGGAGAACTATTTGTTTTTAAGAATCAGAGTTAAAATGTCTTCCTAGCTACTCCAAACTGCAGTTGTCAGCACTTCTGAGCATTTCAATACCTTTTATTCATATTTATCCTGGGTTTCTAGTAAATTGTAGTAATCATCAAATTATTACTGGTATGTAAATGGAAACAAATACTGACAGCTTGAAATCTTCTGTCAATACAAAGCCATAAACTGGGCACTAAAATAGTGACCTGTGGTCAGTTGACTTTATCAACAATCTTTGGGTTTCTGGAGAACACCTTTGTAGAGAAAGATGACAGGAACAAAATTATGTTGTATCTAATTATACTATATTTTATATGGTAAATAGTAGTTCATGACTAAAAATTTTTAATGCAGCAAGAAGGGATTTTGTGTGCTATTAATTGTAAAGCATTTATTAAACTTGAAATTTTTCACTTACATCAAGAATGAAGCTTAAATTCTATTACTTTTTAAGTCAGTGAGGAAAGAAGACTTAACAGAAGTCATCTTACTAAAAATCACTTTAGAAGTTTTAGGAAGAAGTAGTTCCACTAAAGGGATCATTCTGCAAATACATACTTGCTTTTCTATCCTTTGATTTGCTCAGATGAAGAAGAGGAAACCAAGCGGTATGGAGAATAGCCATATTCCCTAATTTTTGCTCTTGGTGATCACTGAGTGTAGTGACAGCTGCCTGTAATCTCTAAATTCGCCCACACACTAGAGGTCAACATGGGATGCACAGTGAGACCCTGTCTCAAAAACCCATCTACCTCAAAAGAAGCCCATATTTTGAAAATCTTTTGCTAAGCATCTTTCTACTATAGACATTGTAAGTTTTTCAGTGGGCCTGACATGAATTACACAATTCTATCTTTTAGGGAAGTGGGAGGAAAAATATTTATGTGTGCCTATATCAGTATGTGATGCACATGCTTTGTGAATGTATACAGGTAAGTAAGCAAACAATGAAATTATACCCTAAAACAGCATTTTATCCTTCTTTTCTTTTTACCAAAACATGTTTCAGTAAAATCATGGTACATGGAGTGTTTACTGCAGGCCCTTTATTATAACAAATACATATCATTATGATATTGAATTAATTCACCACTGACATTTAGGTAAATGGAGAAAATATGCCATATAAACAGGAAAGGACAATTTGTACTACCATGCAATATATAAAAGTCTCACAAAAATCTGATAAACCTTGATGAAAACGTCATATGCAACAACAGTTCATTTCTAATAATTGTATTAATCATCAGCTATTACCAAGAAGGACATGAAAAACAAGCACTGCAAGTTTCTATTTTCTGTTCTACCCCAACACAAAGGCACACACTCGGCATTAAAACACTGACTTTGTTAACCACCACTGACTGTTTAGAAGTCATTAGGAGCTTTAATATTATGTCTATAAAGAACACATTTGGTCCTTTCAAATGAAAATCTAAGAACAAATTTGAAAAGGGGCCCCTGGAGAGCAAAAGCTTTTCCCTTTCCATTTGCTCTCCTTGTGTGTGTGTTCCCACCACCTTTAAAACCTTAACCCACCCAACACTCTTTGGCAGCTGCTGTACCGCCTAGTGGGGCAGGCTATTTGAGCGATCTTCCCATCAGTGTTAATGGCAGCCTGCTTTGTGGGCTGGCCAGCTAGTCTGGCTATTGTGGAAGAGAGGGGTCAGAACATACTCTTCCAAAGACCAAAGCCATTTTTGGCACTAAGAACCCATAACTGCAACCTTTAGTTGAAAGAACCATTTTCAACCAATAAAATGATTTTGGTACAAAAGTAAACCGACTCACCCCAGGTAAAGTTTTAATATTGTGCAGTGCATTCTGGGCCTCAAGTGCAGCTTTTCTTGTATAAAATGTTACGAAACAACAACCTACAGAGAGAAATGAAAAGGTTTTAGAAATTTCTGTGAAGGCTTTGCTTAGATATAATGGAGACTGTGGCGAACAAATAATCTACTTAAAAGGATGCACAATTTAAAAATAATAAAGCACATGAGAGCAGTAATAACAACATCTCAAGCATTTACACAGTGCCTTTTATCCTAAATCACATTTATTAGCTTTACCTGCACTGGAGACCAATTCGTAGCCCCCTGTACTAACTACCTGGGATACAGCTATTTAGAAATAAAAGTAGGAGGTAGGAGTCAGAGGGCAAGGTATTAATGGGACTTGGACCATAGCAACTACAATATAGAGAAGTACTTAACTAAGCAACATTTGCATAAACTTATCTGTAATTTTCTCAGAGTATCTCTAGAATGTCACATTTATAAAACACTTTGTAAGCTTAAAGGTTTAGACATCTGGATAGATAAGAAGGTTCTTAAAGGCTGGGAGAGTTGCCTTATTTTCTTATCTCTACCATAAAAGTACATAAAGTCAAGTTCTGTGTATGGACCATTCAATTCTTGTTTGTTAAAGAGTGATTAGCTAATTTTAACCAATTTAAGATTAACTTGAGTCAGGCATGGTGGCACACACCTTTAATCCCAGCACTCAGGAGACGGAGGCAGGCAGGATTCTGAGTTTGAGGCCAGCCTGGTCTACAAAGCAAGTTGCAGGACAGCCAGGGTTACATAGAAAAAACAAAAACACTTGCAAGATGAATGGGTATGCCCCCAAACAGCTGTGAGCTGAATCTAGCCCATTCAATCAATAATGGTTGTGGCACATCTCTGAGCTCCTCATTTCTAAAATCTGATAGAAACCCAATACCCAGATGGTCTTCCATAGTCAGTGGTAGAAATACATATCAGATATGTTCATTCCTGGAACTCCTCTTTCATAGGGTACCAAGACATGCCTTGCACATCTTCATAAAAGAACACCAGGTATTTTAGGGACTCAAAGGATACATCCAGAGATGGATGTAGTCTGAACCATGTGTTTCATCAGTCCCAACCGTTCTATTTCTGCTCTATACTGGTATTTTTTGATGCCTACTTGACCCTGTCTGATGATCATTCACACTTTATAATTTGTGTCGCACCTATCTACTCATTCATAACTTTCTGCCAGGGTCAATATCCAAGTTTGGTGTTTTGTCAAAGTTCAAGTGTAGAAAAGTCAAACACAATGCCCTGGTTACTTTATGGTATCCCTGTTGCAACAACTTCAACAACTCATTGAGTTAATGAAAATTAGAGCAGAAGAAAACATCTAATCATCCTTCATGTGTTCATTTATCAACCTTTTCCCACTATCCTTCATCAGGGCCTCTGCCATTCACAGGAACTGGTACAATGGTAAATTCTGAGGGGTGATACTAGAACCCAATATCATAGTGTCTGATCCATGTAGAGTCTAATAGTTCCACTACTGATTACTCTCTTTAAGTGATACATATATTTAGGGCACACATTTTGTGGGTGTTAATATTTTGAGCTTCTGTATTTACAGACCATTAACAACTCACTGAAAACTAACTCTGCTGTTAAACCTAAAAAATCTATCAGAAAGGAACAAAGCTCTAAGCATGGAAGAGATTTGGGTGGACACACTTTGTGTGCAGGCAGCCTATATGCAACTTCAAGAAGAACATCTCTGGATACTCAGGAGATAGTAAGGCAATACTGGCCACTAAAGGACACTGAGAAACATACAAAAAACCACTTATTTCCAAATTTCACATGTGTCATTCTATCAGCCTTCTCACAGTACTGTCAGGGTACTTACAGCCTTTTATTATTCACATTCCCAGTAAGGCTAACAATATGCTGTATAGGTTCAGTTGGTAAAGGAATCTGTGATAAGATTATAGCTATGAGATTTAACTATACTATCATGTATCAGAAGTAGAGAGTGGCAATTCCCAGACCAGCCAGGAACCACAAAGCCTAAATATGGTAGTTGGTATCTATTATTGTTTCACAAACAGTTTCTGCGGTCAAAATGAGTTCTCTTATATGTATTTTTTCATCTTAATTGCTACATAATTTGAGATACTATTTTTTCCCCAAAGATAAAGGCCTGAACAGACAGGCCAATGGTACATGCATGCATATATACATGCACACATGCGTGCGTGTGCACACACACACACTTAAAAGATAATAAAACACTAAATTTTACTGACAGACTTATTTTAAATTATCAAATACATTTCTTTTCAAAGAAAACATCTGGGTAACTGCAAATCTTTTCAAATCACAGATGTTTCTTTACAAAGTCTGTACTTGGAAATTCTTGGTAATAATATCCACAGGGTGAGGAAAGTATTGTTGATGTAGAGATAATAAGTTGATATCCTGGCTTGCCCTGATGCAGGCAGCAGTTACATTCTTCAGTGTGAAAGGTAGTGTCAACACAGCTAGAGAGGATGATACTAACAGATCAGATTTTAAAATAAATTCTGCCCTTAAGGAAAGTGACAAAAAATTATTTAAAGAAATTTCACCTGAGGTTTCTAAATGGACTGCATTGGAGAGGGCTACAAATGTGATCTGAGTCTATGGAAGTATTATTTTATTTAAAAAGTCCAATTTCTTTAAGCTCTTTACTCTAAAATATGGACAATAAAATGAATATTTTAAAATTAAATTTATGTTTGCATTTAAAGAATACAAGTAAAAAGACAGAAAGTCAATGACTTGGATTGTTCATAATTACTGAAAAAGTAAATTCAGGGGCAGGAAGAAATTCCAGGTCACATGCTGACAACATCCATTATCAGTGGCTGGAGCCAGCTCCATGTGCTATTGGTATTAAGGAAAGAGGTCTCATACTATCTCCTGTGGCCACCAGCCTGGTGCAGAGACAAATACTAAAGTGCTCCTGAAATGAGAAAAACGGTAGACTTGGAGATCCTGTAGCCTTAAACTAAACTTGAATACAGAATATTGTACTATAGTTAAAAATACAAATAACCACGCATCTTGAGGACTGAGAAAGGGAAAATCCCCCCCCCCCCCCCCCCCCCCGGCTAATGCAGTTTTAAAACAAGTATTTCAGATCTGAAGCTTCCTGTAGTGTCTACTAGTTAGGTATCTACCATAAATGAACTCAAGAGGCTTCATTTATATCTTCAAGGTTATTCATCATAACCATAAAAAACTTTGTTTTCTAAATTGAAGCAAACGAGTATTTAAAAGGTTGCCAAATGGCCATTTAATGACTACATGCTACACTGTGATTTCCCCAACTCCACCAAGTAATAGTTCTGACAGATAAATTCAATTCAAGTTATACTAGAATTCAGGATGTCAATAGTTATCAAGTAAACTAAAGTTTTCTTTACAAACTGCCTTTAAATTCTAAGGGCTGGAGATCAAGGGACCAAAGAAGATCCTGAAGGCTAAATCAGTAAACCTGAGATGTTTTTCTTACTATGAATGAAGATTTTTTTTTTTTTGGCATCCACATTTATGAGCGAATTGCGTGACTGTTTACTGAAGTAGGATTGCAATTGGATCTTGCACCCAAGGCAGTTTAAGACAAAAAAGGACATACTCAACACACTCTGTTTCTCTTGTGATCTATTTTCTCTCCAAATTTTAGTTACTATGTAGAGAATATGTTTTAAGAGTCTGAAGGTTGTTGATCTAAGTGGTTCATCTTTGTTTATGTGTCCCCTATGTACTGTAGTTTTACCTGTACACTTCGGGTTTTTCCCTTTCCAGACCATCTATTTTCACTTTCTACAAAGCAGTTAAAGGTTAAAAAAAAACCTTCAAAAATCCGGATTAATTTTTCAAAGCAATGCTAGGATTCCTATTTAAAAAGACAAGTGTGTTGTTCAATGGTCAAGAATGTGACTAAACCTTTAGTGTTTTGAGGTAAAAAGCAGACAAAATTCTATTGTTAGAAAGTACAGAGCTGTTTTAGGAAGCTACTTGATATTCTGGAGAGTCAAAGAAGCAGCCCTTCCCTCAGTCGAATCTACCACCAAGAAGACTTGCTCTTGCCATATAAATACATCAGATGCACAGTTATTAGCATGTGGTCTTGATGCTTAAGTGCCCTGTGTGTTCATTCGTTCTATTGCGCTCTTAACATGAGGTTTATTTATGAAAGATGTGAAGTATGATTTTAAAAGGGATACTATTCATCTCACAAGCTAATATTTTAAACTTAATCTCCTATATGCTCAATATATTCATGTGCTCTTGCTTATGACCTAATTACTGAGGCTTTTCTGTTCTTGGGTGGGGAACTAGGAGGGCTGCTGTGGCATAAGCAGAAAGGAATGGAAGGCGTGAGAACAGTGACAAACAAAAGCCTTGCTTTGCTAAAGTAAGAAATTAGAGGGCTTGCATTGCACACCCTCTCCTTTTTATTATCTTTAATCCCCAAAGTAAAAAAAATGGAAACAAGAAGGAATAGAAGTAGTATTACAGTGGATGGCTTCAATGTTCTCTCTGTACGATCACATAATTTTACAAGCTAATGCTTCCAGCCTAGCCTTCCACCACTCCATTTTACACTGCTTCCAGTCACCTAAGTACTACAGTTTCAACACAGGGGAGCTTAGACAAGAGAATCTCTGCTCGTTTGAGGCCAGACAGGTCTACATAGAAAATCTTGTCTCAAAGACAAAACAAAAGATGCAAGAAACTTCCTGAGACACACTGGCAGGGGTGCTCTCTGCCAAGGTACTGATGGACCTTAGCTTATTTTAAAGACATGGGAGATGCTTGAGGCTCCTTTTGTATCATCATTAAAAATTGGGCAGTTAAAGAAGTGAGTCAATACTCAGGTGGAATCTGAGGGGAGCTGGAAGTTGCCACTTAACAGCACTCCTGTTCCAACTTAACTGAGAAGTTCTAATTTGCTATGTAGGAATGGTTCTATCTGGAGCAATTCAGGGTTATTGGAAAGCACTGGGCCCTTGCCCCAGGATGCCAGCGGAACAAGTGTGGCATTTGATAAT